AATATAAACAGTAGTGTGAATATAAACAGTAGTGTGAATATAAACAGTAGTGTGAATATAAACAGTGTGAATATAAACAGTAGTGTGAATATAAACAGTAGTGTGAATATAAACAGTAGTGTGAATATAAGTAATGTGAATATAAACAGTAGTGTGAATATAAACAGCAGTGTGAATATAAACATTGTGAATATAAACAGTAGTGTGAATATAAACAGCAGTGTGAATATAAACATTGTGAATATAAACAGTAGTGTGAATATAAACGGTAGTGTGAATATAAACAGTAGTGTGAATGTTAACAGTAGTATGAATATTTGGAATTTGAGCACATGTAAAGGTCCTTTACACAACTAAATCACTGACTTTCTTTAAAGCTGCATTAAAAGTTCATAAATCCATATCTGGCATAAGGACAGTTTTAGCATCTTACTGCACATAATTTCTGCTAATCCCACACATTCAGCTGATCTCGGATCAGATTATTTAATTAAGGCCTAACAAGCCTGCAGAGTTTGAGGCATTCACAGTACTTGTGGTTTTAAAAAATAATAATTAAATCTTCGTTCGGCTCTTCCTGTAGGAGTTAATAAGTTCATAAATCTGCGTGATCAAAATGAACAATAATCAGTGATGATTTAAAAGAAGTACTTTGTGACTGTACAGCTGTACAACATATCAATAGAATAAAGTATCAACCTTTATAGCCTCATTGAGACACGGGGACCTGTAATACGGCAAATTACTGCAATAACTCCATTTATTTGCAATTTATCCTTAAGTGCAGTTTGATAAAAAAGTGTTTTTTTTTGCTTTTATCAATGGCTGAAATTGTAAAAAAAAACGTTAATTAGGATTACATGTTGTAATTTTTAATCATCGTTTCCAGAGAACAACCGGGGCAGAATAAAAAAAAAAAACATCCTGTAATAAATGTCAGCTTCCCTGCAGCCACTTTAAATCTCCAAGGGCCGGCGAAGGAGTTTCACCGGAGGCCCTCGGTAAAATTAGACCCAATTTGCTGAATTTCTTTAATGCATTATTCAAACGAATATTCACGGGACCCGACTGCGCTTCGACGATGAGAGAGAAACGCTGTCCTGCGACGTAAAAACAAAACAAGGCGTTTGTCGGAGTTAAAGGGGCTCCGATACGACGTGTAGTCCTGAATTTAAAACCAGAGGTGGTTACGTTTAGGGAACACGCTCACGCATGATGTGATTCAGTGTGCGGCCATGTGGCACGCATGTGTGAGCCGGGGTGACGAGTCGGCCGGCCCGTAGCGCTCATATCGTCGTGATAGTTCCCTGAATGCGTCAGAGGCTTCTTATGACAGTGTATTTAAAATTCATACAATTATGAAACAGCGGGAGGATTTCTCTCCCCCACACACTTCCCTCCCACCTTGTCATTGAGGGTTTATCTGTAAAACAAAGAAAAGCCGGGGATCGTTTGCATAGTTAGCATAGTCTGCCTCGCAGGCACAATATGGATTTAATTTATATGCAAATGAACGCAATAAAAAGGAGAATCCACACTGGAAATCTCTGCCGTTTAGACGAGGGGAAGGAAGTGTTGGATTCAGAGCAGGTAGCGACAATCACAGTCCGTATATTCGAGAACAACGTTACGTAACAACACAGCAAAAAAGACTAGTTTGATTTTAGCAACTGTTTTACCAAAGCTCAGCCTTAAGTAGTAAGGAGGTATCAGCCACTTTGATTTTTGCCAACAGAGCTAACGTTCCAACTGGAGTTTGTGCTTTTAGTTGGATTAAACGCCCTAAAACACAATTTGCAACGCAGCGGGACACTACGACAAGTGCACGTGTCCGCGTTCCCCGGGAGTTTAACTCGAGTTTATTTAAACCGGCTGCGACACGTCAGGACTGGACGGTGGCGTCGAAAAATGAGGAGTTGTCAAAAAAAAAAAAACTGCCATTAAGAGGTGGTGTAGGTTGAGGGTTGAATCGGCGTCGTTCTGGAAAACAAACACCGGTACAGACGGAGCGAGCGCTAAGCGGAGATGAACAAAGTCGAATGCTTTCTTGCGGAGGTGCACCGTCATGCTCAAAGGGCGAGGGGAAGAGTCCCTGGTTTAAACGCACACACAGACGCAGAGACAAAGCCATTTTAAAGAGCCCCTTGGATCACCGCCCTGTGACGGTGGTGGAGCGGCTCCTTCCCAGCTGCCGCCTCCTACTTGAAAACAGAAGAGTGAGGAAGAACAAAATAAAAGCTCCTTCACGTTTTATCTTCAGCTTCGTGAAATTACTGCCCGACTGTTCCTATTTACAACACGAGGCTAAGATTAAGATTATTTGATGCACTTTACCAAAAAAAACAACTATATTTCAAACAAGACGAGCGGTTTTATAAATGGTTAAATATAAAGTTTATGGGGAAACCTTTAAAAGTACATAAAAAC